GCAAATATTGCGTCAGCCAGAAAAATGATCGGATGGATTACGAGAACTTTCAAATCCAGGGATCCCATCACAATGGTTGTACTCTTCAAGTCACTTGTGTTGTCCCGTCTTGAGTACTGCTCAGTACTCACTCCCCTCTTCAGAGCAGGAGAGATTGCTGAAATAGAGGGAATACAGAGAACATATACGGCACGCATAGACGCGATAAAGCACCTAAATTATTGGGATCGTCTCAAAGCTCTCCAAATGTACTCACAAGAAAGGAGACGAGAGAGATACCAAATAATATACACATGGAAGATACTGGAGGGACAGGTCCCAAATCTACACAGTAAAATAACAACGTACTGGAGTGAACGATATGGAAGAAAATGCAGAATAGAACCAGTGGAGAGCAGAGGTGCCATAGGCACAATCAGAGAACACTGTATAAACATCAGAGGTCCGCGGTTGTTCAACACCCTCCCAGCGACTATAAGAAATATTGCCGGAACAACCGTGGACATCTTCAAGAGGAAACTAGATAGTTTTCTTCAAGAAGTACTGGACCAACCGGGCTGTGATGGGTCTGTGGGCCTGCGAGCCGCTCTAAGCAACAGCCTGGTGGACCAAACTCTCATAAGTCAAGCCTGGCCTCGGGCCGGGCTTGGGGAGTAGAAGAACTCCCAGAACCCCATCAACCAGGTATCAACCAACAGCCTGGTGGACCAAACTCTCACAAGTCAAGCCTGGCCTCGGGCCGGGCTTGGGGAGTAGAACAACTCCCAGAACCCCATCAACCAGGTATCAACCAACAGCCTGGTGGACCAAACTCTCACAAGTCAAGCCTGGCCTCGGGCCGGGCTTGGGGAGTAGAACAAATCCCAGAACCCCATCAACCAGGTACCCACAACGAGTGAAGAGACACAAGCACCACGCAGGAATTACGCTCACAATATAACGACAAAGATAATGACATGCAAGATGCCGGTATTGTTGAACACCGGCCACCTGCGTCGCATATTCATCATTGATCATTGCTGACATATTCATCCCTGACTCGTGACGAGGGAGCCAACCACACCAGACACACACACATTTTCTCCTCATCATTACTGGTGAGACAGATTATGACTCCTTAATTTCTGCCTCTTTATTAATTATTACTTTAGTTGGAAGATCACTTAGAGAATCACTTAATTGTTTGATGACCAAAGAATTTGCATTTGAAATATGCTAACTTTACTGTATAGGCTTTCCTCAAAAGATTCCCGCATTTTGTACCAGCAAGATAACGCAAGTTTTTAAGGTTGACAAATGTCAATCTTCTAGCTTGAGGAGCTGTTCACTTGAGACAGTTAAGCAAGTCCCAGCTGTGTCTGGGTACAAGTGACAGGATGAACAACCCAGCGGGTTTTCTTCCTATTGGGGAGTGTTGTACATGTTGCTATGGCGGTGTGTCCACTCACAAGATGAGTGGCGCTGCCCAATACTGTCACTATGGCGGTGTGTCCACTCACAGGATGAGTGACGCTGCCCAATACTGTCACTATGGCGGTGTGTCCACTCACAGGATGAGTGGCGCTGCCCAATACTGTCACTATGGCGGTGTGTCCACTCACAGGATGAGTGACGCTGCCCAATACTGTCACTATGGCGGTGTGTCCACTCACAGGATGAGTGACGCTGCCCAATACTGTCACTATGGCGGTGTGTCCACTCACAGGATGAGTGACGCTGCCCAATAAACTCGCCCCTCGGGGCAAAAAACAAAAAACAATTATTCACTATTGTAAAATATTCGACCAACAGGCCAGGCAATGGTGCTAAATTATCAGGGAAGAAAAATCTTAGGAAGCGTCGACCTTTTGTGTGTTGTTGAACATCCCTTCCTCCCCCCCCCCCTGTCCCCTCCCCTCCCCCCTCTTCCCTCCCCTCTCTCTCCCCTCCCCCCCTCTCCCCCCCCTCTCCCCTCCCCCTCTCTCTCCCCTCCCCCTCTCTCTCCCCTCCCCCTCTCTCTCCCCTCCCCCTCTCTCTCTCCCTCCCCCCCCCCCTCTCTCTCCCCTCCCCCCCCTCTCCCCCCCCCTCCCCCCCCCCCCCCCCCCCCCCCCCCCTCCCCCCCCTCTCCCCTCTCCCCCCCCTCTCCCCTCCCCCTCTCCCCTCCCCCTCTCTCTCCCCCCCCCCCCTCTCTCTCCCCTCCCCCCCTCTCTCTCCCCTCCCCCCCCCCCCTCTCCCCTCTCCTTCTCTCTCCCTTCCCCCCCTCTCCCCTCCCCCCCCCTCTCTCTCCCCTCCCCCCTCCCCCCTCTCCCCTCTCCCTCTCTCTCCCTTCCCCCCTCTCCCCTCCCCCTCTCTCTCCCCTCCCCCCTCTCCCCTCCCCCCTCTCCCCTCCCCTCTCCCCCCTCTCCCCTCCCCCTACCCCTCTCTCCTACCCCCTCCCCTCCCCCTCTCCCCCAGCATGTGCAAATTCACACTTAAGTTCCTCTTAAGTGTCTCCCACAATTCTTGCCGCGAACTCCGCCCCCACGGCCCTCTGACCACGCCCCCAGGGCATCCCATAGGCCTATCACAGAACCTTAGTCTAACTGTTGGGCGTGGCCAAAGCCCTATAGGGTCACTCCCACGCCCACAGGCACGCCTGGCGCCTGGTCATCGGGGTCCCTTTAACTTCATTTGTTAACCGTCAACTGTTGGGCACAACTGAGGGGAGGGAAGCTGGCTTGAAAGACGGCCTGGAGGTCAGAAAGGAGGCCAGGGCGGGCCAAAATGGTCTCTGGAGGTCCGAAAGGAGCCCAGGGCGGGCCAAAATGGTCTCTGGAGGTCAGAAAGGATGCCAGGGCGGGCTAAAATGGTCTCTGGAGGTCTGAAAGGAGGCCAGGGGCGGGCTAAAATGGTCTCGAGGTCCGAAAGAAGCCCAGGGCGGGCCAAAATGGTCTCTGGAGGTCCGAAAGTAGCCCAGGGCGGGCCAAAATGGTCTCTGGAGGTCCGAAAGTAGCCCAGGGCGGGCCAAAATGGTCTATGGAGGTCCGAAAGTAGCCCAGGGCGGGCCAAAATGGGTCTCACCTTCGCTGTGTCTATACCCAGAAAGAGCTCCTTGGTCCAAGTTTCTGAAGGATACCCGGATGTTGACCAGTATGCCATATGACGCTGTTGTTATTCTGCTAATGTGGGCTTCTGGTGTCAGATCTGAGGTTATGTCCACTCCCAGGTCCTTCTCCTTTTCTGATTGAAGAATTTGTCTTCCCTTCATCCTATACTGATGCACTGGCCTGTGCGTTCTGGCACCAATCCTCATAACTTTGCATTTGGCTGGGTTAAACTCTAGCAGCCATTTTTCTCACCACTTTCAAAATAAAAAGCCTCCACTATTATTGGACCTTTACTTACAACTGAAGGTTCGTACACAGAGGATGACAATGAAATTAGTGAAATTCTTAAAGGCCAGTATGAGGCTATGTTTAGCACACCAATAAACAACATGAAAGTTGAGGATCCAGAGAGTTTCCTTATGATATGCAAGATCTAGATAATATAACGGATATTAACACGAACTCTGAAGACTTTGAAAGAGAAATTCACAACATGCCCATGCACTCAGCCCCTGGGCCTGATGCATAGAATTCAATATGCTGGAACAAAGGTGGAGGTATTCAAGAGGCAATTTAGATAAGTTCTTGCAAGAAGTGCCGGACCAACCAGGCTGTGGAGGATATGTGGGCCTGCGGGCCCCCCCAAGCAACAGCCTGGTGGACCAAACTCTCACAAGTCAAGCCTGGCCTCGGGCCGGGCTTGGTGAGTAGAAGAATTCCCGAAACCCTCTCCAGGTATAGTCCAAGTATACTTCTGGAGTGTGTGTGTGTGTGTGTGTTTACTAGTTGTGTTTTTGCGGGGGTTGAGCTTTGCTCTTTCGGCCCGCCTCTCAACTGTCAATCAACTGTTTACTAACTTTTTTTTTTTTTTTTTTTTTTTTTTTTCCCCACACACCACACACACGCACACACCCCAGGAAGCAGCCCGTGACAGCTGACTAACTCCCAGGTACCTATTTACTGCTAGGTAACAGGGGCACTTAGGGTGAAAGAAACTTTGCCCATTTGTTTCTGCCTCGTGCGGGAATCGAACCCGCGCCACAGAATTACGAATCCTGCGCACTATCCACCAGGCTACGAGGCCCCTGTGTGTGTGTGTGTGTGTGTGTGTGTGTGTGTGTGTGTGTGTGTGTGTGTGTGTGTGTGTGTGTGTGTTTTGTGGCGTTAATTATTGTTCAATGTATTGATATTAGAACCTCCTTTGGCTGAGATAACATCATTAAGGATAGAGAGAAGCACACACCTGTCCTCAGTAGAGGGGGGGATACACCTGGCCTCAGTAGAGGGGGGACACACCTGGCCTCAGTAGAGGGGGGACACACCTGGCCTCAGTAGAGGGGGGACACACCTGGCCTCAGTAGAGGGGGGGACACACACCTGGCCTCAGTAGAGGGGGGGACACACCTGGCCTCAGTAGAGGGGGGGACACACACCTGGCCTCAGTAGAGGGGGGACACACACCTGGCCTCAGTAGAGGGGGGACACACCTGGCCTCAGTAGAGGGGGGGGACACACCTGGCCTCAGTAGAGGGGGGGACACACCTGGCCTCAGTAGAGGGGGGACACACCTGGCCTCAGTAGAGGGGGGGGACACACCTGGCCTCAGTAGAGGGGGGGCACACCTGGCCTCAGTAGAGGGGGGGACACACCTGGCCTCAGTAGAGGGGGGGACACACCTGGCCTCAGTAGAGGGGGGACACACCTGGCCTCAGTAGAGGGGGGGGACACACCTGGCCTCAGTAGAGGGGGGGAACACACACCTGGCCTCAGTAGAGGCGGGGAACACATACCTGGCCTCAGTAGAGGCGGGGAACACATACCTGGCCTCAGTAGAGGGGGGAACACACACCTGGCCTCAGTAGAGGTGGGAACACACACCTGGCCTTAGTGTAGTATGTTGATGTTGTGACTAAAGTATGTTGTTCTCTCCTGCAGATGTGACAGAGAGCGCCTCATGCTTCCCGGAGCGTTGCAGGTGAGTACCTCCTCCAGGGGCACCTCCAGGGGCACCTCCACCTCCAGGGGCACCTCCACCTCCAGGGACACCTCCACCTCCAGGGGCACCTCCACGGGCACTATCAGGGGCACCACCTCCAGGGGCACCTCCAGGGACACCACCACCACCTCCAGGGGCACCTCCACGGGCACCTCCACGGGCACTATCAGGGGCACCACCTCCAGGGGCACCAACACCGCCTTCTATACCATCTCCAGGGGCACCACATACACCATCTCCAGGGGCACCACATATACCACCTCCAGGGGTACCACTGTGGGAATGTTTTAACTTCTGACTCCTTAAAATAAGAAATTAGCTACTGGGGAAACTCATGTTTTCCTCTCGGTGTAGTGGAGTAGAGTGTATCTATTCTGTGTTCCCTAATTGGCTCAGTTTTCAGAGTGATCCAACAGTAGCCTGGTGGATAGCGCGCAGGACTCGTAATTCTGTGGCGCGGGTTCGATTCCCGCACGAGGCAGAAACAAATGGGCAAAGTTTCTTTCACCCTGATGCCCCTGTTACCTAGCAGTAAAATAGGTACCTGGGTGTTAGTCAGCTGTCACGGGCTGCTTCCCGGGGGTGGAGGCCTGGTCGAGGACCGGGCCGCGGGGACACTAAAAGCCCCGAAATCATCTCAAGATAACCTCAAGATAACCAAGTAATGGGGCGGCTTTCATTAACCTGTTGAAATGAAAACATTCCACTTCCCACATGGTAAAAAGTAATGTGTATAAATGGCGATGTATAATGAATCCAGTAAATATGTATAAATACAAATTATTTAGCCTGTCCTTTTAATCTGGCCTCTTGCCATGTATACGAATTATTATAAAACAGTGACAAGATTATGTAATGATAGGAATTTATCTATTGCGAATGTATACTTTAATTTATTTTTAAGCAATTGCAATATATCAATATTAGTTGGATATTGATTAACCTAGTTAGTATCATTTATTTTAGTGGCCAGTAACTTACTTACTGAGGAGATTGTTGACCAGACCACACACTAGAAATTGAAGAGACGACGACGTTTCGGTCCGTCCTGGACCATTCTCAAGTCGATTGTGACTCTCATTCTCAATCGACTTGAGAATGGTCCAGGACGGACCGAAACGTCGTCGTCTCTTCAATTTCTAGTGTGTGGTCTGGTCAACATACTTCAGCCACGTTATTGTGACTCATCGCCTGCTTACTGAGGAGAGCTCGTAAGCTCATGGGAGTAACGGCACCTGTAATATTAATGGGGTTTTTAGAGCCACAAAGAATTGGATCCAATTACTATCGTTATAACACCACCAACCTTCTTTATTTTAGTAAGATGCAGGTACCTTGAGGTTATCTTGAGATGATTTCGGGGCTTTTAGTGTCCCCGCGGCCCGGTCCTCGACCAGGCCTCCACCCCCCAGGAAGCAGCCCGTGACAACTGACTAACACCCAGGTACCTATTTTACTGCTAGGTAACAGGGGCATAGGGTGAAAGAAACTCTGCCCATTGTTTCTCGCCGGCGCCCGGGATCGAACCCGGGACCACAGGTCACAAGTCCAGCATGCTGTCCGCTCAGCCGACCGGCTCCACACAGCTCCTCCACTCCTCCCTCTGTCCGCTCCTCCAACGTGGAGGAGCAATGTTTACTGCCGCGACAGCGTCTGGACACTGATGCGATCCACTCAAATAGAGCATCATTGCCCCTGCCTTTTTTAATGATCCATTTATACTTATTGTTAACCAAATGTATCTGGTTAAACCATTATTTCTTCGGCATATGTGTTTATTTTGACATATTACAGTGATATACTTATAGCCGTTAGATGTAATTACATATCCTAATATGGATTCATTTATGGAGGCTTTCCTGGGATTTGTAGGTCACAAACTTGTAATATATTGATCTGACACTGTCTGTCTGTCTCAAGAAAGTTTGACTTGTTCTATAAATAGCCATGCCTGGCCCATGTGCTCTCATAGACCATTACTAAGACATGTTATGCTATAATTGTGATGGACAATTTTCCGCAACGCCTCCCCCCCCCTACCTGTACCACCTCTAGGGGCACCACCACCTCCCCAGGGGCACCACCACCTAACCAGGGGCACCACCACCTCCCCAGGGGCACCACCACCACCTCCCCAGGGGCACCACCACCTCCCCCAGGGGCACCACCACCTCCCCAGGGGCACCACCACCACCTCCCCAGGGGCACCACCACCTCCCCCAGGGGCACCACCACCTCCCCCAGGGGCACCACCACCTCCCCCAGGGGCACCACCACCTCCCCCAGGGGCACCACCACCTCCCCCAGGGGCACCACCACCTCCCCCAGGGGCACCACCACCTCCCCAGGGGGCACCACCACCTCCCCCAGGGGCACCACCACCTCCCCCAGGGGCACCACCACCTCCCCAGGGGCACCACCACCTCCCCCAGGGGCACCACCACCTCCCCAGGGGCACCACCACCTCCCCAGGGGCACCACCACCTCCCCAGGGGCACCACCACCTCCCCCAGGGGCATACTAGGGAAAGAAAGAGGGGGGAAGAGAACAAATCCACAAGGGCCGTGACGAGGATTTGAACCTGCGTCCGAGAGCATCCCAGACCATGTCGTAGCTCAGTCGATGTAGGCAGCGTCTGGGGATGTTCTCGGATGCAGGCTCGAACCCTCGTCACGGCCCTTGTGGATTTGTTCATTTGATGCATCACGCAATTGTGATTTGTGTGTGTAAGGGAGGAAGAGGTCATATTGGTAGCAAGGATGAAGAACTAAAAATTGAGAAATGAAAAAGAATGGGAACTGCTGATTGATTTCATTTGCGTGAGGCAGACAACAGCTGCGACTCTGTCAACACGGACAGAGAAGGCTCTCAGGAGACAGACAACAGCTGCGACTCTGTCAACATAGACAGAGAAGGCTCTCAGGAGACAGACAACAGTTGGATCACTGTCAATGTGGACACAGAAACGTTCAAATAAACACCAACGAAACTTAGAAAACTTAAAGAAACAATAATGGAAGAAGTGTCAACAACGGAGAGAAATGGCACACATAATAAAAAAAAAGGGGAAAACAAACAGTGCACTCTTAAAAAAAAAATCTTGGTCAATGGCCTTGTCGTATATCAGACGATTGAGAATCGTTCCCATTATCAGAACAGACTTTTCTCTCTCTCGTTCTCACCCCGGGCTCATATCCCGCCAAACACACACCGAAACTATAACGTTGGTACAACGTTCGAATAAGTTTTAACACCTAACCATTTATAACAACTAATATAGCAAGTTGTAACAACGTTCTAATACGTCATAAACACGTTAAGCCAAGATGTAACAACTTTATTACAAGTTGTAACAAGCGGAAAATAGAGACAGTTTCGGTTTGTGTTTCCAGGGATATGACTCATATATGGCTCATATTTTGTGAGCAATGGAATTCTTCGTCACTTGCTTGTACACAATTGGGCAAGATAGCGTGGTGGGTGGTGGATAGCCCGCAGGACTTGTAATGAGCCTGGTGGATAGCGCGCAGGACTCGTAATTCTGTGGCGCGGGTTCGATTCCCGCACGAGGCAGAAACAAATGGGCAAAGTTTCTTTCACCCTGAATGCCCCTGTTACTTAGCAGTAAATAGGTACCTGGGAGTTAGTCAGCTGTCACGGGCTGCTTCCTGGTGTGTGTGTGTGTGTGTCACAGCTGCCAGAGGCCTTGCAGGCGTTGGTGAGCAGAGAGTGGGGGATGGTGGGGAGGACCTGCCAAGCTTCTAACCAAGTTGCTTAATAATTCATTTTGGCTTGTATTGAAAATGTCGAAATTTGGAGTTATGGCCCTTAGATGGGCTCACTTGTTGAAATAGGAGGACGGAGTGTGCATCTCAGGTGTCTTGAGTGATGTGGAGTGCGCATCCCTGGTGTCTTGAGCAAAGCAGAGTGTACATCTCAGGTGTTTGAGCCAAGGCGGAGTGCACATCTTGGAAATCCAAGCAAGGTGGAATGTGCACCTTGGAGGTCTCAACCAAGCAGAGTGATAACCTCAGATGCCCAAGCCAAGCAGAGTGAGAATCTTAAACATCTGAACCTAACTGAGTGCACACTGCAGACGTCGGAGCCGAGTAGAGTGAGCATCTCAGATGTCGAAGCTGAGTAGTGTGTTGGAAATTTCTCAATGCAGGTAATTGCCCTTTCAAAAGCTGAATAATTTTAAACCCAGAACTGTGTAAAAGTTCACTGAATATGAAAGTATGCTATGGCAGAGACTGCCCTAAATTACATATCGAGGGGAACCAGGAGAATGAAACCAAATGAATGCTAGAAAATCCTCAATGAAACCAGCTACAACTCTACATAATGGAGATTATTAACAAGAAGGAGGAAGACGAATGGTCTTCCTGTTGGACCAAACTCTCACAAGTCAAGCCTGGCACCGGGCTGAGCTTGGGGAGTGGAACAACTCCCAGAACCTCATTCAGGAACAATCCAGGTACACCAAGCATTTCTGTGATGCTCTGAAGGCTATTCTACATATTAACCATAGTCCTCTGGACCTGCTTCCCTCCTCAGTGCAGATGCAACTCAACTGCTGACGAAGATGATCTTGGACAGATGAGTTGATCGATCAGGTCCTAAACTGCTCTACCTCAATCAATAATGAGTCCATTGCTCGCCTACCTCAAGTGGAGATCATCCAGGACCTTGATAAACCTTCCACAGCAGAAGTCAGGAAGGCCGTCAAGAAGCTTTCCTGTGGCAAAGTGCCAGAGTCAGATGCAATCCCTTCTTAAGTGTACAAAACAGGAGACTCAATCATGATGCAGAAACTGACAAAGCTCCTCCAGTCCATATGGAATGAAAGGAAGGTCCCACCACAGTTCAAAGATGCCAGCAACCAGCATAGTTCACGTCTACAAGAGGAAAGGCAATCGGCAGTCTTGTGATAATCTCCAGGGAAATTTCACTCCTGTCCATCGCCGGGAAGATCCTGG